TCTACAGGAGGGGGGGGGGGGTGTAGTCATGTTTGTGGAGGGGAGGGAGAGGGGGGCATCGGATCGCTTGTGTTCGTTTGCGAGGAATATGTGACGGGTAGTCTATTTTATTTTTTGTGGTTCTGCACAAGTCATTGGAGGCTCTTGCGCATTCATAGCGATACTGTACCGAAGCAGGCCGAGGAGCTGCCCGGTCGCAGATGGGGCCCGGAGAGGGGTTGTGTCGCCACCATTTTTCATCTTACGTGCGCATCTCAGGTTCGACGAACCCTTCGTCGGTGAAAGCATTAGCCGTCCGTCCCACCCACCCTCCTCTCGGGTGTGTCGGTATTTTCCGACCAGTGTCCGGCACCACCTTCACCTACCTACCCTTCAAATCCTTGGAGCTTTTGTTATCCCTTCCGGTTTATTCTCGGGGGAGCGAGGGATCGATCGTCATCATGTGTTTTGGCGCTGGTTATGAAGTTCGCATTGACGGTGGTTACTTTCTCGAACGCTTGGTCATTTCTCCCTTCGGCGACAAAATTTGTGGCCTTGAGTACCCCCCCCCCCTCCCCCCGTGACGAACCCCCAATCGTGTGCCCCCGGAACCGAACCGATGTTGAGCAGAGGGTGCTCGATACATGTACCGGACGGTCAAGGACGTCCGCTTCCCGCTGAGCGTGCGCAACGAGGTGGCGGCGATGGAGCGGCTGCTGTTGCTCACGACGGGGGCACTTGACGCCTACCCGACCACTCTGGAGGAAGACCGAGCGGCACTCAAGGTGCGCGCGCGCGCGCGCGCGTGGTTGCATGAAGATCACGTTTGTGTCTTCCATGGTGGGGAAATAACGGAACGGGACTGGCGATAGCGAGGCGTGCGACCTGGCCGTCTGGTAGACACTGGCTCGTGGGTGTTTTTGTTTCGGGATCATTTGTGGGTGGGGCCGGCGTTGGAAGAAACGCCAGCGAAACATGAGCAACAGCAGGGGACGGAAGTCGGACAATCTTTGCGGGCCTTTTGGTGCATATCTGTCGCCAACAACATGCTAACATTTTTAGTTGGAGCGTGAAGACCGGGTGGTCTAAATCTGTCTCTCGTTTTGGTGGAAGTTCTGGTGGGATGGGATTACGCATCATCATGATCCAGTTCATGTCGCCGGCACGTCGCTCATCCGCTCGGATTATTTGCCTGTCGCTGTCCGTGCGCGACGTGGCTCTCCATCTCTGCTCTCTCTTCAACTCTCTCTTGCAAACTCACAATCTCCCTCTCAATCTCTCTCTCTCTCTCTCTCTCTCTCTCTCTCTCTCCCCCCCCGCCTTCTTGTCTCTCTCTTGCACTGGGGCTGGCTCCCCCTCCACGACGCGCGTGCTCTCTCTCTCTCTCTCTCTCTCTCTCTCTCTCACTCACGACTCTCTCTATAGAACGGCGGCCTGGAGCCCTTCTCGAACCGTCGGCACGCCCTCATCCAGGTCTACGGGGAGAAGGTGGTGCTGGCGCACTACGTCGACCTGGCGGAGACGGCGCTTGCCTGCCTCGCCGCTGTGGACACTACGGAGCTAGTCAGCAGGTGCGGTGCCGCGAGTTGGTCCTGTCCTTCTGTTGGATACGACCGCGTTGGCAACATGTGGTGCCGTAAGGACGCTTTGTGGGGTATTTGAAAATTGGGAGGGTGGGCGTCGAAACGGATGGTGCGGAAACCAGCCAAGCAACCTGCCTGACAGCATCGTGTAGTCATCAATTTTGAAAGTCCGCCAGAGTGGGCGTGTTGATAACGTGTTGATGACGTGTTGATGGCATGTTGATAACGTGTTGAGCTTTTTCTTGGTTTTCCCCTCGCCTTACCCTTCCTTCGGTGCGCACACGCGCCGATTGTGGTGGTGGTGGTGGTGGCGGGCGGTGTTGTTGCTATCATTTCATGGTCAATCTCGGGCTTGAAATGCTTGCTGTAGGTGGTAAATCATACGACGATGGTTGCGCTTCTTCCTTGCCTTCCCGCCGTCCCTGTGTTCTTTGCTCGTGTGCTTGGTATATTAGCGGTCTTGGGGTCGTTTAGACTCGCCGTTTGCTTCCTCTGTCGGTGTTTCGATGCTGTCGGGCGCGATAACAACACGTGCACCCTTGCCCCGTGTGCCACCTTTTTTGTCTCCACCCCCGTTTGTCGCCCTCTCTGGGTGGGTTGGACCAAAAGCGTTCTGGTACTGTTCGGAAACATAGGGACCTTTTGGGACAATGGCATCAGTATTCGAATGGTCCTTGTATTTCCGAACAGAGTGGTACTGACGTTGTTAGCCCTGACGTTGTTAGCCCTCTATGGACGGTTTCATTCTTCCCGCCGCGTCCTCTGCTTATTGCCACACCTCACTTTTTCGTCGTTGCGATGTCCCATCAAAACGCTGCACAACACACGCTTGTTTTACCCCCCAGGTGTCGCGACAAGGGGAAGCTGATCAGGGACCACTGCTCCGGGCCGATCAAGAACATCTACGAGCAGGACAGAGCCAAGGTTCGTCACTGACCGGCGATTTGGCCGCGCGCGCTGCTTTGTTGTTGCTTCGTCGAAGGCGTGTACGCAGCGCGCTCGACCTAGCAGTGCTGGCTTTAGCGGCCGGTTACGGACCCATTTTAGTAGGTACTGCTGTCGACCGTGCGTCGCGTACTAAGGCGGACACCACCGCCCGCTGTGATATCCGTCGTGCGTTGTGCTCCTTTTTTTTTGTTTTTTCTCGCAGGGTCTTATCGCACCAAATCGAGCTTGGGGGGGGCAGATGACTGCGGATCCCACCATCGTATGACACGGAGAGACAACCGTAGATAATGTCCAATCTTGGAGGCTCGGGGTTGAAAATTACGGCGACGCGCTCGGGAAGTGGGGGCGCTAGCGCTATATAGGGCGTGGGAGGAAGCGCGCGCGAATGGGATCATGGGAGATTGGCGCTTGCAAGTCGGATGCGCGGTCGAACCGGTGGATCGATCAATCAATCACGGACGGGTTTGCAGAAGATTCAGGTTTGGATGCAGGGCTTACAAGATGGAGTGCGCGGACGGTACGCGTTCGTTGCGCGCGTTGTGTTGGTTGACGTTTGTTGCCCAGACTGCGAGCTACACTGGAGAACGATACATACATATGTAGATGAAATACACACGGACTTGGAGGCCAAGGCATTCGTTGAACTACTCGGGATCGGGGAAAGCCCTTGCATGGTGGGTGGGGTCGGGTGGGGGGGGCTTGAGGCAAAAAACCTCAAAGAAGAGCCGTGTTTTTCTGCCGTTTCTTGTTTGTCCCATATGTTGTTGAAGGTGGAAATGTGTTTAGATTCGGCGCCCGTGGGGGCTGTGTCGGTTCTTGCGTTGGCGAGGGTGGGAAGCGAGATAGATCGGGCTTGCGCGTGTAATGTCGAGGCACCCGGGGACCAGCCTTGCACCCGCCCCCCGCCCCGCTCTCTCTCTCTCTCTCTGCGAAGCTAGCGCAGCCAAGATTTCCCCCGCCAATTTTTTTGTATCGATTTTGTCTATTGTTTTGCTTTGCATACATCGGAGCGCCGGTTGATGTGGGTGCTGTTTGTGTTCCACACGTGAGCAAAAAATATTTCTCTACATGTGCAGTCTAGGTGTGGATTCCCGCGGGAGTGTGAGAGCAACGAGGCCGCGCGTGCTGGCTTCTTGTGTCGTGTGTCTAAAGCGGACGTTTGGTGGGCAACGCAGGTGGTGTCGACCCAAAGTTTTCTTGTCTGCATATTCTGACAGTCGTAGGATGAGCTTGCTTTTTCATGGCGCACGTGCTTGCGCACCCACTTGCTCCGGGAAAGGGCCACCTTGCTGTTGTGCCCGAGTCGCTTCATGGCTAACCCCTCTCTTACTGGTTTGGCAAAAACCCGGGGAGAGGGGGGGGGGGTCGTCCCAGACATGCTGTGTCCCGACGTCAAGCTCAAAGGTCGTGCTGCAGAGTAAATAGAAACCGCACGCGTTGAACAATGAACGTCGGGAGACACAGCTGTGTTCATAGGACGGCCGTGCTTTTTTTGTGTCTCGCCCATAGGAACAGTAACGGCAGTGCACGGGGTGCACCGTCCGCCCTCTTCTTTGAGTTCCCAGACGAAGTTGAGACTGTTTTTGCTTGCATGTCGTGTACCCACCGGCGGCTGTTTGTCCGTAACACCAGTCAATTGGAGAGGAAAGGAACGAGATGTTTTTTGTTGTTGATTGTTCTTACGGGAAAGCCAAAGGAAGCCGGCTGCGGCAGCATCACGCCCACCGCCTGGGCTTCGACCAGTTGGATGGGGACAAGAACGGTAGCAGTTAGCAACGGCACCACAGGCTCTGTTTCGAGCAAAGAAGACGAACTCTTGCGGAAATGAAAAAACAGCAGTGGTGTGGGAGGACGCATTAAGAGACGCACGAAAAAAGCTCACGGGCTGGGTTGTTTCGTGACCCACTCAGCAACGAGCCGTGGGCCTTTCGGTCGTTTGTCTGCGACCAACTTCTGAACTCCAAAGCAAAAAAAAAACGATAACGAACAACATACTTCCATGTGCCAAAATAATAAATTGATGCGGTGCCAAAAGGCACGAGCACGCAATATGACACGGGGTACCACGTTTCACACGTTCGTGCGTGTGGTGGGGGTGTTTACCGCACCAAACGGTGGGTCCCGCTCTCAAGTTTTTAATCCGACTAAACCTTATGAAAGGGTCGCTCCTGTGTACCCGATCCTTGCGCTATCTTGGCCTCAGCACAAATGCAGGGGGTGAAGGAGGAGATACATCATAGGGGCAAAAACATCTTTGGCACGGCCGTTTGAGCTGTTTATTGACAAAATCCATCCTTTCGGGCCGGAACTCCTCTCCATTCCCGAAGAATCCAAAAATACGTGACAAAAACGAGGTAAAATTGCCGCCTGTTACATGCAAACCCTCGTTTTGTTTTGTTTCTTATAGACGAGAAAACCAAAGAGACACAATATCTGTTCCACACGGCCGCAATGCCCTTGGCAGCTTCCCAAGGAGCTTACTACCTGACCGCCCCCAAGAAATCGGAAAGGGGGGGGGAAGCGATTACAAGCCCCCATCATTAGCCCCCCGGCGCGTCCGGGAGCGCAGCAGTAGTCGCGAGGGGGGCCACCGCAGCAGTCAGTCTCGTGCGTGGGCTCCAGCCACGCGCACCCCATCAAAAGGCGGCCGCAGCTGGCGGTTTCTGCGCTTGACTGTGGCCGCGACCCCAAACACCTAGACGATCCATACCACAAACGTTCAGTCGTCTCGCCCGTGCGCCTCTCTCGTATATTCCATCAAAAAACATTTTTCTTCCTGCTGTTTGAAATGAAGATAAGAGTAAGGGAAAACAAAAAATCGATTCCATCACAATCACAACCTCCCGAAGTCTCGGACGAACTTGGCGACGGAATCGAGGAACTCGGGCGCCGAGTCCTCGTCCGCCAGGCCGTTGGCGATGTCGTAGATGTCGTCCAGCGCCTCTCCCACCGGCCTCTCGGAGACCGCCTTCAGGAGGCGGTAGCCGGACGGGTCGTCGGCGTCGTCCTGCCACACCGTATACCTCTTGCCGTGTTCCCTGGACGTTTTTTTTATTTTATTTTCCGGCGTTTTTCGTCGTCGTGGTCGTCATCGTTGTCGTCATTTGTGTTGGTTTTGTGTTTGTTCGCCATGGACGGCGGGCAGCATCGCAACGGAAAAGCAGACGGCGTTCGAGGAGCGGAGAGAGTAAGACACACACACGTGAGCGATGGAAGGCGGTTCGTGGGAGGTAGCAAAAGCGTGGCTGGCCACCATAACCGTACGCACGCGCACAGGGCAGGAGGCATGCATGCACAACAGCAGAGGGTGCTACATACTCCTCGAAATTCCGCGCGATGTTCTTGTTGAGGGAGACTTCAACGAAGACCACATTCTAGCGTACTTGACCACGTCTGCGTGGGACCAAACAGGCCGAACCACCCATGTAGGCATGGTGGTCCCGGGCGCCGCCATCCAGCAACGACAAAAGACTAAGATAGGTGTGGGTGAACACAACGGGGCTTGCCCGGTAATTCGGATAACCCGAACCGCGAACAACATGGTATCGCACGAAATACATTGCTACCGGCCCTTTCAGGGAGGCAGCCGGGCAGGCGTACCGTACCTCCGAGGATCTAACAACATCATAGCGCAAAAGCAGCAGCAGCAGCAGCAGCAGCAGCAAAGATGCCACGCACAGCAAGAAGAAGAGGTAAAATAAATGGATGCATTTGACTGAAATCGGGAAACAAGCGCGACTGCTCGTAGCACAACTGCCCCCCTGAACGTCACCCCTTGTTCTGCTCCACTCTCTCTCTCTCTCTCTGTCTCTGTCTCTGTCTCTGTCTCTGTCTGTCTCTGTCTCTCTGTCTCTCTGTCTCTCTGTCTCTGTCTCTCTCTCGTACCGCTACCACCCCCCCCCCCCCCCCCCCAAAAAACACCCACTTTTTCAAAACCCCCCACCCCAAAA